ATAGCGGTGATGTATAGGCGCGATGGAATCAGGGACCGAGGGTATGACCTTTAGGAGAAGAAGACCGATCGTGGGGAATCCAACATTGGCAAGCTATTACAATGGTGGCCCGTGTTCATCGCAATCATCGGCGAGCATGAGTTTTGCTGACGTGGAAGTTACCATGGAACAAGTGTTTCATGTGAACTCGACAGCCAGTTAAGACGTGTGCTCTTCCTTGATTGCAGCTATGTCGAAAAAGGGGAGGGGAATCATTTCACCATCTCCACACTGCGTATGCAACATCCCCAGCACGGACGTATTCAGCGGAGGGATGCTTGACAAACTGGCGTCACAAAAGCGGGATGCACCATCCCGTTGTCCTTCGGAAGGGGCACTCCACCAATGTGAAGTAGTGACTTCATGGAGGGGAGATCGCGAGCCCATTCATGAGTTTAGGGAGAGGTTTTCTGCGCGCATTATTTGCCGTCTTCGACACCCGGGGCGCTCCGTGAACCATGCGGGGTTCTTTCATCAGACTGGTATCAAGCTTGGCTGGGGCTTATCACATGGCATCACGATGTTAGCTTTGAATAACTCGCAGGAGAAACGGGCGGCCAACCTCGCATTACGACGCGTGTATAATCTCCCGAAAGAGCGTTTTGACTCCGGCTGCCCCCTGCAAATGAGGTGGCACTGGCTGTCCTCCAAAGATGGTTGGAAGTGTCAGATAAAAAGTCCGTCGTACTGCGGCCGGAGAAAATCGATGAGCGACCCCTATTGCGCTTAGATAGAATGATCTCATCGAAAAGGGCCATTCGGGGATCTCGGGATTTTGGATTGGCTCTTTCTCGGTCACCAATGAACTCATTGAAACCTAGCTGCACGTAAGTAACTGTGTAGGATTGTATATCGGGCCAACCCTCGCTTACCTTGTGTTTGTTGCAGTACCGCAATGTATTCTGCATGTTCCCCTGGTAAACTCTTCATGAATGCTTCCATATTGAAGCTATAGATCAATCCAGCCTTCTTCTTATCTCCCGAAGCAGGCTGTAGGAACTTCTTGTATGTATAAAACAAACTGGCGAAACATCTGACGAATGCGGCACGAACTTGTTCAGGATGAAAGGCTGCTGGACACACTAGGCATATTTGAAGAGCACACCGGCTGTGCACTACAACCTTGCAGGCGCTACACTTGTACATGCCATCCTCAGCCCGATCATCACAAATAGCACAAACAGCCTTTTCGTCCCAGGGTTGTACTTGCAAGCAGTGTCCTTCCACCCAGCATGTGCCCTCGGCATTGTGAACAGGCTGTGCCGCAGTCGTGGGAACGATGGTGGATGCAGCAACCGTAGACTGAGCATATACCGACGGCGCGTAAGTTGACCCGGAGTTATAATCGGTATTCAGAGTCGTCACCGACAAGTTCGACGCATGACCAATGAAGGGAGCGCTTGGTCGACGAGGAACACCAGGGCGCATCTCCATGCCAAACGACGAGCTTCGTCGAGACGCTGCATCAAAGTGACCGGAGCGTTTCTCGCGCAAGGAAGCCTGCAGTGTACTTCCTGAGTCATTTCGCGACCCCGGGCCTGTAGACGACGCTGGGAAATGTCCCGATGTAGGTGAGCTATCTCTGGGAGATGGTGGTGAGCCAGTCTTGTACGTCGACCCGGTGCCCGGTCGGTCAGAGCCCTTGGAAGAATAACCCCTGGATACAGCCTGTTCATAGCGGGCATGGAGATAGGCGTTGAAGATCAATGGCTGGTATGATCCCGGAGCCACGGAATTCTGACCAAAAGCACTGGAGTTCAAGCTGACGTACTTGGCTAAGTGCGTGGACTGGGCTTTCGAAGTGAAGATAGAAGAGTTCTCCGACATGAACGCGTCGAATGGATATGTCTCAACGGCATAGGCGGGCGGTCCGGTCGGAACCCCACACCGGCTGTGATGAGGCGCGGCCAGCTGCAACAACGACAGGAGCTTCCTGCGCTGATGACGGGGTAGTGGGGTTGGCTGGACCGTGCTCTCGATGAGGTCGGCATCGAGATCTACCAGAACGAAATCATCGGATGGTAGTTCGACCTTCTCGTAACGCCGTTCAATACCCACAATATAGGGGCAAGGCGCTTCAAGAGCCTGGATCAGACGGGCGGGAAGCACTGGGATCAACACTCCTGACCACGGGATGGGAAACAGCAGATCCACCAACGCCTTAGTCGCCAAGTAGAGCATTGAGGTGTGAGATGACAAGAAGATGATGCGCGACTCAGTCAGAGCGTATTCAAGGAGAATCACGATATTGGCTAACGAGAGGGCGCGGAACAGGGCGTAAATATCGGTGTTGCGAGAGCCTGGTAACTCGTTGGAAGCCTCTTTGCGGGCGAAAAGACGCAACTCTCGAACGTTCAACTCTACCTGTGTTTTGGACGAGTTTGGACTGAATGCTTCTGTGCACAGATTCATCACATATCGTTCCAATGGTTGCCAGACACCCATCCGAGGAGAACTAGGTGGGATGCGCTGGATGCCTCCATCCGTCATTGGGACGACAATAGCCTTCAGCCACTCCTTCCAAAAACTCGTCATATTCTCTTCTCGACCAAGAATGCCGTAGGCGCGGGGAATCCAAAAGCCGGTATCCCCATCAGTCAAACCTTCGATTTTCGATGCCGCACCATGCCGCACCGGTCGCAGGAGGTCAGTCATCAGACCAATCTTCTCCTCAACCGCACTAATCTCGTCTTCCAATTGCTCTCGTGATTCTGATCCTGACGGGACAGTGGGGAGTTGAGCCAGGAGTCGGGAGAGTTTGGCACGCTCGCTTGCCAGTCTCTCGCCCAAGCTCGCGGCAAGCTCTCGTTCCTCGTCCGTCATATTCTCTTTCCGCCATTCCTCGCAGCGCTTCTCCAGCTCGTCCGCAGCTTTCTGATTGAGTGGAATCCAGATGATGAGGCATATAGCATGCAAGCGCGAGCCGTTATCGGTGGTCATGACAAACCCGTGCCATGTAGATCGCGGCCTTTGATCGGAAGAAACAATATTGATATCGTTCGGGAATGCGAACATCGGGACGTAGTCGGGGAAGTTGCCTCGCAGTTTCAATTCATCAGACATGCCCTGTGTGGGATAGCGATCAAGCAGAACCGGCTCAAACCGTCGCTTCAGCGGATGCATGGCGGGAGAGATCTCTAGCGGCTGGGGAACCGGGATGACGGAATTGTAGTTGCTCAGGCGTCGCGAGGTTCTAATTGAGGCTGCAATAGACTGCTGTCAGCGAATTCTTAACGTTGAACACCCCGATTGACCACCACCAACCTTGACGAGCGATTGACGGTTGCCGCTTCATGCTGTTCATATCTCGAAAAGCCATGTGTCGCCGTACGCTGCCAATGCTAGAACGAATCAAGCCTGTCGGCTGCGAGCCTTCCTCCGAGACGATTTTCTGCGTGCGTAACCTAGACCGCGGGCGCGTCGACGGAGTGATAGCACCCGCACTCACATTGAGATCAGATAAGAAGGACTCCCTCTCGGACGCGAATTTCCACAGCGCTTTGTCGAAGTCGAAATCTCCCAGGAAAGAGGAGCCGCGAGGAGATTGGTTGCCTTTGATCGTCATACTGCTCCGGTTGCTGTGGGAGCCGTTCTCGTTCGCATCAGCCTCGCCCGAGCGCGTGGGTACCCGTTGGACCGAGTTGCGATTCCCCGCCATGGAGATAGGACGGGAAAGGCTGTCCAGGCGAGGATCATGGGCCTCTTCCGCATCCGCATCTTCTTCGATAGTATCCGTGACGGCGGGGCCGGGCGAGGTGGCACAGTTGGCTCGGTAATCATCCCCTAATTTGCGATAGGTCTCGAGGACCTCTGTTCCATCCACGCCAGCTATCCAAAAATAATCTGCGAGCGGGGTGGTAGACGCCTCCGACGTAGAGGACGAGGGTGAGGAAGAGGAGGAAAATGGCATTTTGTCGGGAAGGTTGTAATCATCAATCGTCACGAATCGTCGACTTCGTCACAGCATGGAGTGAAACACTAATCCTGAGGTGTAATTGCCGTCCCACGGGCATCAATGGGGAAAAACGATTAGTAGGTTCCCCCCTTGTCCCTTCAGTTCAGTAACTAGGGGGCTTCGGAATAAACAAGCAAGTGAAGGTCGGAGTAGCTAGAACGCATATGTTCGGGATTGCGACGCTGTCGCCTGAATGAACGGTACGAAGGCTGGAATAGGAGCCTGGAGCAACTCGAGCGCCGAATAGACGCAAGAGGGCGAAGGGAGGGGGAAAGAAAGAAAAGTGGTGGTGAGCGTTCAGAGAGTGAGAAAAGAGATTGTTGATCTATGCATTGACAGAAAAGAAAAAGGAGTTACCGGGTTAGTGGAGTGAGGAGGAGAAGGAGGAGCGGGCAGGTGAGGGGGCCAAGAGGGAGGAAAGAGAATTGGACAAACTGGAAAAAGGAGGAATGCTTTGACAGGTGTCTCTTCTGTGTTTTTTTTTTCTTGGGGGAAATTAGAAGAATTAAGGGTCAAATGAAAAGGTTAAGTTTTGATTTCCATTTTATTTATGTTTTTCTAATTTTTTTTCTGGTATCCATCTGCTGATATTATTTAGAGGATAATATAGAAGAAGGGAAAGGGAAAAAGAATTATTCAAGTATAATTCCCTCTTTGTTTCTGCTGCCTTTCCAACTTTTTTTTTCCTTTACCCCTTCTAGGAGATTGTACTAGTTAGTTACCGTGGACCAAGTTAGTACTGCACCTAGTAATAATAATAATTTAGTCGTCGTAGGTAAACTCGTAGTAGATTAGTACAAACTAGGTCTTAAACCATGCAGTGTAGACGGATGGTTGCGTAAACTAGACAGCGTCTGGAAGGAAGGGAGGGTGAGAGGAAGGGAGGGGGTTAACATTAGTTACTGTACGGAGCAGTACTGGGTTACTTCAAGCCTAATCCCAGCCAGACCGTTTCCCCGTCTGTCTCCTCTTCCCCCTCCACCTCCCCTCCTCCTATGTACGAACTTACAATAATACATCAGTTAAACCACAACCATAGTGCTTGCTTGCGCGGTATAGTCTGGTGCTGGATAAGTGCAATGCATTCTGGCCGCGGCTATGGGATCTATACTAGATATTCTTATATCTGTCTCTCTATCTATCTATGACCAATCCACTTTCTACTTTCCTTCCCCGATGTCATTGATCACCCTCCCCTCCCACTGCGTCCACATAAATTCACAATTTACCCCTCCGGTTGATGAATGACAATCAATATCAGGCACTCATATGAACGAACCAGAGGTAATAAAAAAGACAACTGACCCCAAAAAAAAAGAAAAGAAAAGAAAAGAAAAGAAACTCAGAACCAAGAAAGGAAAAGGAAAAAAAAAAAGCATCCATGATGCAAATAAACGTGCAGGCTACCTACACTGGAACGGCAAGACGACGAGTCGGTGGAAGATCCTCTTGTACACCCGGACTGTGACTGGCCGAGCACAGTTGGGAACTACTGCAAGTGTGCAGCCTGCATGGTTGGCTGCATCAATCTCTCCAACCACCTACCGGCATCAGCGGTGTTACCTGGGCCGGGTCCCGGCTTCTTCCTACGAACCTGGACCGCATCTACGTACAGTACTATGTAAATTGGATTCCATGGCCTACAAAGTGCTTGCGGATGAATTTGCTTGTCAAACAAGAACACAAAACGAGAACACAAGGCAGGCACTGACACCGACTTGCGGCCGAAGACTCGAAGAGGATACCATGCTGCCAAACGCACAGTGACCCTTCCCCCCTCCAAATTCCCGACCATCCATTTGTGAGGGAAGGAGAGGGGGGGAAAGACACACAGGGACGGGAGCATATCAATCGCCGGACCCTGTGGAGCCTGTCGCACACATAGTGCTTGGCTCACTGGCTAATCTCTGCTCCTCAATGGTCCGCGGCCAGATGGAGTGAGAACTACTGTTCGAGACAACCATGGGAACCACGATCATTACGTCTTGCACTTCAGTAGGGACTATGGAGGGAGCCAATTTGAGACTGAGAGGCAACTGGATTTCCTCCCATTGTTACAAGACTATGCGACCTCGTCCCTCAAATCCCGATCGAGGACGTTTGAGCGTTGAATGGATGGTTCAGCTTGAAACTAGGGACACGCGCGCGTAGGTATGCTCTGTTGACGAAAGCCGATCTTGCTCTAGCATTTGGCTGGGGGAAGCACCCAGTGCGAGGATTAGTGCGGAAGGGTCTAGTCTGAAAATAGCCAGATCGAAGCTTCATCCTGTCTTCCGTCAGTTGAAGGTTGGGTGTCATCGTATCATCTCAGCCTCTTGGGAATCATTGGAGACAGTTTTGGTCGGATCGGAACAGTACAGCCATGGTTCCGAGAATTATTGGACCTGAGACCAGTTAATGGATCCTGAAATAGGGGAACAGATGCCGAACTGGAATGTTCCCCTGGACAGGGAATGGAGATCAGCTGCCGAGGTCCCGCTGCTACTAGCCATCCTTGGCCGCAACTGTCGAACAACATGAAGAATATAGTGGTGGTTTCACATAGGGCAGAGGTAAGACAAAAAAAGAAGGGGGTGTGAGTAAGTTATGGGTAACTCGCTGACAACTTCACACCTCGCAGCACTCAGGTTCTTCGGACCTACCTGATCTTGCTTAGTTGCATCTTGCATCGGTGAACTCTGCTGCACTCCGGGAATGGGCTGGGGGTGGATTGGCGATGATCGATGTGGACCCCCCAGCAATGACGATAACCAATTCTCGGTATGTACGTTTGTACTAATAACTTCATTGGTCTCTACTCTAGTCAGCACTTCTGAGCAGACCCAGATAAGATGAAAAGCTGAGGCTTCGACGAGGAATCTTTATTGAGTTTGATTATGATAGACACAGGCTCAAGTGTCCCAATGATCATTTTCATTGACCATTTGCCCGGCCAAACCCCTCCTGATCGGGAGCACCAGACACTGGCTGTCTCGGACCTGTAGTACATACCACAAGTTGGATTCGACGTCGATAGGGCGGATGCATGTTGATGGTGGTGCTGCTACTGCTGCTGCTGCTGCTGCTGCTGCCACTACCACAACGACGACAACAGCCCACGCAAGCCACCCTTCCTCAGGCCGCTACCACATCGTACAGTATATTCCATGAGCCAGCATCAACCCTGCAGGGAAAAAACAAATAATTTGATTTCAAATTCAGTCTGAGCTGCCAGCCCCCTCCAGAATAAAAAGGAAAGCAATACGCAGCCTGCAACAGAAAGAACTTAACTAACCACCCAAGTGAATGGTTCCTTACATAACCTTACTTCCCCGGACTTGCTGACCCGCACATAGATTTTATGCATCTACCAACTAACTCTTACATGAGTACTAACTGATATGCTCGATATGACCAAAACCCCTGCGCTACATGTCTGAGTACTTCTACCGACTATGATGGAACAGTTACGATCTGGCTCCGAGGCCCATGGTCGTAGCAATTTAGATCCCCAGCCGTTGCTTATCACGTTACATAAGTTCCACCACGCAATTCCCTTTGTGAGGGCATGGCTCCGCCGGCGCGCGCACATGCCCGACTCTCTCCGATACTGGGGGGAGGGGGAGGGGCGGGAGAAAAGGGGTGAGAGTGTGTTGTTGTGCCACAAGCAGGCAAGGCAAGAAGGTGGATTAGGGGGCAGATCATGTAGACTTATGGAATCTCGCCGGCCCCGTTCGCACTTGCTGCCCCTTTCCTTTAAAGCTGTGTTGTTCCCTGCACCGATTTCTCGAGAAGTTGGCCAAAGAAGATGATGATGACCACCTATCGGTAACTATACTACTGTAGCCAACAACGAGGGCTGCACTTTACATAGGTAGCTTAGATCGCCTCACCAACTGTCTGAAACTGACCATTCATGAACCATACTACACGGTCAATGTCATTGTGTTCCGACCTTGGAAGGCCAAAGAGCGGGCTAGACTCTCCCATGCCGCATACTAAGTATAGTACAGTACTACTATACCTGTACTCAAGTTACCACTGTCACCACTATCACGACCATCACGACTTACTGTTCCCCATATGCCACCACAAATAGAAAATGGTCTTGGTGCTGTATTAGGGTACGAGAGCGGAAAAGGAAAAGAGGCCACGGATAACACACACACATATATAATATAGTTACAAAAACAATACACCACCACTGTGCGTCACCCGGGGTAATTTGGTTTCTCCTCCCTTCATGGGCAAGGTGTATCAAGTTCATGGAAACCGTAGCGAGAGGATACTGTGACTAGTGTACGGAGACGTCGTGCACATATAGCCTAGCCTGTCTAGACCTTGCTACGTGGTCTGGAATTCAGACAACCAGTGTCTGAATGGTCTAGCCAGTCTTTACTTGACCCCAACACACTCTACTTTGGTTGTCATACATCCCGAGATCGACGGAACGAACAGCACATGGCTGGTCCAGATTTCAATCAATAAAGAACTTCTCCAACTACTGGCCCCTACCTATCAATAGAAACCCCATCCGTCGGGCGTTCTAGCCTGGTACTTTTGTTGGACAGATTTCCAACTCGCCAACTCAAAAAAAGAGACAGGCCACACACCACTCCACCACCACCACCACCACTGCAGGCAGTCGACGGAAATTCCTGCTTTTTGCACACCCATGCTTGAGTGTAACCAACCCAAGTTTCCGGATTGTTGTCGTCGTCGCTAACCCATCGCGCCTGGGTCCCAATTGATACCCCCGGCAGGCGACGCCATACCCATTGGCCTCCCTGATCGGTCGCACAGCATGGTGCGTCACCACTAGTGAGTTGTTCGATTTTCTCTGTTTCAAAATATTCGCACCGGCAGAGAAGCACTCGCAGCTTGCACGCTTGCAGGCGTCTCTTCGCTGCGATGTTTCGCATGGTGACAGGCCGCTAAACATAGACAGGCCGTTGTACAGAGATAGACACTACTCGTAAGCTAGCTATCGTCTAGGATCCAGAAACGCGTCATTCCCCCCCCTTGCTTTGCGCTCACGCCCGTCGTCTCGTCATGAGGTTTCCCGTGGTCAAAAATCCCTTATCTCCCATCGCACCTCGCCATTCAATAGATAATTGGCCTAGAGCAGCCCGTCCATCTCGTCTCATGTCTTTATGTAGGGCCTCGAGGCCTTCCTGCTGCCCTTCCTCTTGTTCAACCAGGAAAGCGACCTGCAGGACATCGCGTGGATGTAAAGTTGGCGGCTGGGGATCTGTTAGATCGGTGCCTTCCAAGTCCCAGTTCAAGGAGATGGACTTGAATGGTGGTTTGGGATTGAGTCGTGTTTGCTGCCAAAATTAGTATGCGAGCGGCAAGATGTCGGCCATGCTACTGAAAACCTTCAAAAGGAAACATCCCCCACCATCTGCAACCTACCTTGACCACGACCGGGCCATCGCCCACATTTTCTAATTGGGCCTCTAGCGCGAAGCGGAGCAAGCGCGTCTTCCCGTACGGGCCCAAACTCTTGTTTTCGACTTCAAGTGGCACCAATTCGGAAGCTTTGGTCCGTACACTCAGACAGGGCTGAGCGACAAATTGATAGAGTTTGCGGAATGTCCGGACTCTGCCGCTTGCTGCCTGGGCATCCGAGCCTATCGACGTCTCCGTGTAGCTCACACTGACCGCCAGTATGTGATTGCCCTCCTCCTTGAGATCAAACCGTACGATTTTCTGCAAAGATTGGCCCTGCTGCAATCCGTCCTTTTGGAATGTATCTTCCGCAGGTTCGAGATCCAACGCCGCGACCTGAGAGGGTGTTTGCATTTCAGCGACAATACGGACCGAGGTGACAACACGTGACGCCTCATCTGCGGACAGCTCATTATTTGCACTGAGCGTGCATGCAAATGTCTCGCCGACGTATGCAGATCCGAAGGCAGGAGGGAGGGTCAGCTTGTAAGAATCGTGTCAGTAGCCGAACATCAGACCATGACTGCATCGATTTACATTGGGAGTGAGGATGAATTGATCGTCCGTGTGATCGGCGGGGTAGCTTAGTGATGCTTTGCTCGAGATCTTCGTATTTGCCGCCGGTAAGGGATACTGGTAGGATAGGGAGGGACGAGATAGCCTTGTCGATATTGTCAGGAGAGAAGTGCGCGATGAAGTTGTCGTTGATAGGTGTGAGGTGTTCAACAGGAATGCAGTCGCTTACCGCAAGACTGAACGACCATCAATCAATCAGCGAAGTGCTTCGTCAGGGGGAAGAGAACTCCGATTATGCCATTCTTACCTTTAAGTGAAATTGCATGGGGCTCCTTAGGGCCATCTGCGCCCGAATGAGCACGAGGGCGTGCCATTTTAGTTGATGGAGAGTTCTGTGTAGGTAACAGTAGCTCCGGCGGATGAACGTCATTTCAGAACCCCATACTCGGGCGGCGCTGAGGGCGGTGAAGCGCCTGCAATTATACTTACTCCATACATTTCTGCGGAGTGCAAATGTCTCCGTCCGTACGAAGCAGAATGCCGTCTCAATTCGGCGTAGCCTTTTTGTATACCATGTTCATGGAAAAGGTCTAGTGGCAGTGGTGTTGAAATTACTGCTGGTGCCAGTAGCAAGCACTAAGCCCAATTAAACAAGATTTGAAAAGGTATTGTGATGTTCATAAAGAGTCCTTTGGCAATAGTAGCCTGTAAACAACCCTATAATGACTGACAAAAAGCAGTGTCAATACCTACCCAAATGACAGCGGGCTGCCACTCTTGATTAGTCGTCCGACTCACCGCCTCGGGGGCCTGGTTTCCAGTAGATAGTGGGCCTCATCTTCTATAGGCTGAATCCATCCGTCTTCACCTCTCTTGTCACATAAAGTAAGTGGGACCTCATACGTACTGAAATGTGACAATTGACTATTGATGCTCATCTTACTCAAGCTACAAGCTTGCTGACTGCGCATCTCAGACCCGAAACTTGTGAGCATATTGCAGTACTTGTGTCATGCGGCGGAGTTGATCGCTTATCGGCCACTTATCTCCCATGTTAGTCGCTATCCGTCGCCACTGCGATCTTGTGAAAGCGACCTTTCATTTGAAGTCCAAGCCCTTCGAGACCACTAGAACCAATTTTCTCGTCCTTACGATGGGTGCAGCCTCAAATGCAACTGCTCGTGTGCAGACTGCCAGAACATCACGGGGTGGAGCTCGAAAGCAGCGTGGCAAGGCAACAACAAGCACATCCGCTGTCTCGAAAAGGAAGCGAACTGCCGATGAAAAGGAAACAATAACCACAACGGCCACTACCACTACCACCACTAGAAGATTGCGAAAGGCTGTTTCTGAGACCACACACTTATCCAAACTCAGGGATGTTGGTCGGACCGAGCAGTCCTTCACCTGTCCGCAAAAAAAGCCCAGGGCGCAAGGGCCTAGTGAAGAGCGTCGAGAACGTAGATTCAGGTCTCATGCCCCGGTATCCTTCAAAGAGAGGGCTGCACGTGCAATGAGCCAACGGTAAGACCTTTGGACTCAGAATCGCTCGAAATATCGAGGCTAACTGTCTCAAGCATGTTTATTGTTGGGCATACCGTCAATCTTTTGGACGGAGTTCTGAATATGAGCTTCGACATTGTCGGGACCACTGGCAACATCTACAAAACCACCATTGGGAAGGTGCCAACCTGCGACTGTCCAGATGCACGCAAGGGTAATCAATGCAAGCACATCTGTTATGGTAAGCGTCCCGTGTTTCTTGACAATTCCTCAAATCCTATCATTATGTCGCTATCACTTATCACTCATTGTTATTCTATGGTCCTGACACTCTTGGCTGTTCAAGTATTGATCAACGCTCTCAAAGCGCCGGCGGACCTTCAGTATCAGCTGGCATTTCTATCATCGGTAAGTGGCAGCACGAACATCGTCTCCCGTGCCTGGAGGAGTTGTTCACCCATCTTGCAGGAACTGCGGGCGATATACAATGGTTCCTCGCTCAGCAAAGAGCAATCTACAGAGGAAAACGCTGGCAACAGGAAACCGGTCGAGGGAGACTGTCCAATATGCTTCATGGAATTCGAGCCCGAAAAAGAGGACATTGTATGGTGTCGAGCTGCCTGTGGGAACAACATTCACAAGACTTGCTTTCATCAGTGGGCCGCCACCCAGCAGGCACAGGGCGTCAGATGCGTCTATTGGTGTGTTCCCTGCCATCTAGATCTTTACAATACGTTACTGACCCAGCCAAGTCGTGCACCCTGGCAGCCGGATACCGAAAATATGAATGTGGAGGAGCTCTCGCGCCAAGGCAAAGTCAGATGGGATGGATACGTCAATGTGGCACAGCATTTTGGCCTCTCGGGCCGTCGCGGTATGAAGCTCTCATTCAGAAACACCATTCGTCTTTACGTAGCATGCTTGCGAAGAATGACTAGAACTGACAGCTTGACTCTGATCAGACGTTTCGAGCTACCATCCTTTCTGGGTGCGCCGACAGCAGTACCAGCACGAGGACGACTGGGATTATGATGACTATTGATGAGGGCATGGCAAGAGCTCAGTCTATTTCACGCTGGCTTCAAGGCGTGTTCTTCGCTTCCTCTGCCGTCTGGCACGGTCCTAATTCTGCATCAACAATTTGCTTTCGGTTAGCGGGGAGGATTTCGGGATTTAGCTGCTGCATGCTAGTCTGAGGTTATCTGGCTGGAATGCTCTCAACCTTAGCTTTCATTCGGTCATTTCTATGGCCATTGTTATTATTATTCTTAATTAATATGAGGTATCTGATATTCCGACACACAGGTGTAGTTGAATAATAATTTATCCGCCCAGGAGCTGCACCAATTTAGGAGTTAGACCTTATCAATCATCCTTGTCAAACCTTCCAGCGAGCTAGCTAGATCCAAGCGAAGTTGGATTGAAGCGAGGATGACCTAGCCGGGTTCACGCCCGGAGCCGACCAAGAGAGATTTGATTTTCAGTGCTGTCAGAAAGGGCGCCGCCATTCTCAGGCCAATTGATCGACCTCACCCATGCTGATGGCACGGGTATGTCATAAATTGATTTAGCGTTGCTTGTTTCGACAGATGTCCCACCATGTTTCCCCTCTCAGTAGTGATGATGCTGCACCGATGGCATGGCGGAATGAAAAATGGGACGAGCTACTTGGACACCTGATGTTCAAGCCCCAAGTGCTTGAGTACGGTGCCTGTATCATTCAACATCTCACGAAGCATTGACAGTACCGTATTAGCTGAACGACTAAAGCTCGTGCCAGAAGAGTTCATCTACCGGCCTTAGTCACTCTCCTCCCCTCCCTGACCACAACGACACTGACCCCTTCCTCGCCCGTCATCCAGGAAGGCATCCTCTCCGCGTCAATAACGCCCAACTCCGCAAGCTTGCGGATTCCACCAATCACATCCGTACCAGCGAACGTCAGCGAGACTGTTGGTTGTTGAGCGTGCTCTGTTGGCTTTGCATCACCTGGTAAGGCATCGAGTAGCCTAACATCGAGTCTGTCAAGCGGCGCAGAAGACAAGGTACCCGAAGTACCGAATCGGGACTGCAGGGCTAGAGTCCGCTTTTTGGAGGTACCGGCATCCTTGGGGTCGGCGAAAGATCGCTTCGAGGCCCTTTTGTTTTCGAGCGTGACATCCTTTGCGTCAGTCGCCGTGTTCTCTTTCCCGGCCGTATCCTTGAAGTGGACAGACGCTGATTGGCGGTTATACTCCTCCGGGGAGACGGTTTTGGATGGCCGTGGGTCCAAGGGGCTTCCTTCCAGGGCGGCGTCTGCGAAGATGCTGAATGCGCCGTTGGCCTGGTTGGAACGACCGGGGCCCCGAAGGGCGAGCAGGGCTTCGAGACTCTTTGCCGTTAAAGAGGTGGGTTTGACGGTATATCGTTGATGGGGCAGAGAGAGGGCTTTGGGAATAGCATCTCGGACCAGGCGCTGGAGGCTGCGAGCGTCTGTTGCGACGAGGGAGTTCGGGGGAGCCGGACTAGTCTTGGATGCTGTCTGGGGAGAAGCCATGGACGTGTAAAAGAATGGACAACTGTCTGGAAAAGCGACATAAATGGTTCTAGACGAGTCGGTGAGAGATTCGACACTTTGACGAGGAGCAATTTGGTAAGGCGAGGTGGTGACGAAGACGCGGAGCACTGTGAGGGGGAGAGAGGTCGACCGGGCAAGGTGGTAGTGGGCTTTCACCAGGGGAGATATTTGTTGCTGGAGGCTGCTTAGGAACGTGGATGCGTGAACCCGCGGTATGCATGCGGAAGATTCGTTCGAGGACGAGTTGTCGATGCGAGCGAGTTCTAAAGCTGTCCAGCGCAGACCCGACGGATGGTCGTCCATGTAGCGCATGTCGACCATTGCCAGCTGACGAAGTGTGATGCCATGTCGCCAGTCGCCTTCGAGAATTCGATCTATGACTTCGCGTTTCCCTCCTTTCCGAAACTGCAGCTCCTGGTAGGCGTTGCGAACCCCGTTGATAGTCCGCTCAGCGGGATAGGGCCGGAGTCCATCGTCATCGCCATCCTCGTCTCTTTTGCCGCCTTCGTCAGCTTGAAGATATGGCGCAAAGTGCTGAACATTGCCACCCTCAAGCCACTGAAAGACAAGGTCAAGTAAAGCCTGGCGAGTAAGCTTGCCAAATGTCTTGACTAGCGATGGGGTGGAAGAAGGTATGCGCAGGTTGCTAGGAAGACTGGCAGTTGTGGGAGCACGAATGGCTCTGGACCGCGGCATTGTGACTGGCAACTGATTATGGAATTAAGGATCAAGTTCGGTATACATGACAAGGTCGCACAATCTAGGCGTTGTAATCGACGGGCCCCAAAGCACCTTGGCTCTATGCTGGTCGAGGGCCCGTAAGTCGTGATGCGAACGCGACCAAGTTTTGGGATTCCTGGGGCATCAACAAACTAAAGTCACGTGGCGATAAGGTGCCGGACTTATAGTTGGTCGAATCATATCGCCGTTGCCATTACTGTCATCGGCATGAACGAGTGGGACCGTGGACAAAGAAGTCTGCTGAAGGGCTTAAGTTCACTAACTAATCGGAGTGATTATAAATCCTGATGTCCTTCGTGAATTACTCAGTACTGTCAGCCGCATACGCAGAAGACAATGGTGTGAAGGTTGTTTAGACTTAGGGCAAGGCTACCAAGTACGTTAGACCTAAGGGACTCTTCGGACCGAAATACTTGCGCTACGGGCTAAAACATACTCAACGGGCGGATGGGAATACTTCTTTGAGAATGCATACGAGGGGAAAAGTGGAGCAGCAAACGGACGTACAGAAGGAAAGATTTCCTCTGCGAGTCTAGTTTATGAGTAGTTCTAGATACCAAATTAGCGACACTCATACTAAACCACTTCGACAATAAGCGTCCAGTTTGGGCCAACCACAAGCACTGTGGCAGACGCCGTCTTGGTGTACTGAAGCCAACCAAGACCGTCTGCACTGCAACCCTAAGCAAAAAGCAAAGGGAAAAAGCCTCGGGTCTGCCCGCCGGCGTGTCGACAAACTGACTTCATTGAGGAGACGAATGATTAATAATTATTTACCGGAGGGTCCATCCCTAAAGCCCCTTTGAAGTTGGAACTCAAAACCGGGCAGGGCTCGTGGAAACCTACTCGTACCACAAAAGCAAGCCGATCTCGGCCACTGAAACGAGGATGACTCGGCTTCGATGTCATGACCCGGAAGGGCGGGCGCGTTGTGGCGAGAGCCATGCAAGCAAGGCAGGAAGAACCGCACGACCGGGAGGGAGGGGAGTGAGGGATCAGCATAGTTACTGAGGCATACTCAGTATACTGTACAGTACATAGTAGGTATTTGCCTACTAATCTAATCATTCATTAAATTATGAGTCTACAGGATGATGTAGGTAGAAGTCTTGATGAGAAAGAACGGGAGACAGATTGAATGGAAAAGACGAAAGACTGAAAGAAAGTCAAGCTGTTAGTCACTTGTATTAGTCGTTGGCCGCGGGCAACTCCCGGATCTCCACTGATAAGTCTGAGTCTTAATAATCAAACCACCCACACCCCGCTGTAATTGAATTTACCCAGTGGCCAGTGCCCTTTTTCGGTCTCCCGCGCGTCCCACATTGGAATGAATTCAACCCGAACCCTCCACTGCACTGCACTGCGCTGTACCCTCCTCCGCCCACCCATTTCGCTCTTTCACCTCTTCGATTCTATTCTTTCTCTCTTCCCCAGACCCCTACCCACCCACCCATCGACAACCCATCGACAACCCAACTTCGACAACTAATCGCTATCGAACACCGTCCAACGTCGTCGCCTCCATTTAGCGCTTGTGAGGCCCATCTCACTTCATCGGACTCGGCTTTTCACTATCCTATCATACCGTCTCCGGTCTACTTCTATCCAACGTCGGATCACCCACGAAGTCCATCTTTTGCATGGCTCAGCCATAAAAACGAAACCGTTCTTGTCGTCTTGAATGACCTCCATTGCTTTCGCCGCCTGGTAGATTCGAGACGTACAGAGGCCACGGCCCGCCTCAATACAACATCATGTCTGAATTCAACGGCCGTCGGGCCCCGAATTTCTCCCAATACCTGGAAGATCTGAATGCCATCCCTTCGCCATATGATCAGGCTATGCAGCAGCAGCAGCAAGAATCCTACAACTTCGATGCTGATCTTTCGTTGTTTACCAATACCGAATTCTTTGACTTCGACCACTTTGGCGACATCAACCTGCCTGCTTTCGATGCGGTGGAGAAGACTACAGTGAAGAGGGAGACCGCGCAGGATGCCAACTCCGACATGGACTTCTTGAACCTTTTGGGAGGTGAGTAGGAAATCTTTGTTCCTTGTCGCCTCGTTTTCACCATCAAGTTGGACATATGATGCGACTGAATATCCTATCAAACGGGCTATTTGGAAAGAGTCATTTTGCATTGCGTTTCAGAAGCCTGAGCATTGAGCCAACTCATCATCTATGGATGTCGTTGTCTCCGCCCGCGTTAGCTCATGCTCTTGCTTTGCGTCCCATTTTCCCCTGCCCTCCTTCAGAAACATTTCTTGCCCCTCTAGGATCATACCACGAGCGCAGGTTTTATACCAGCTGCTTTGCTTAGATTAAGCACACCATTTGCACATGTCCTGATTGGCTTGCCACCTGCATGAGATCCTTTCGTCTGTGCGACGATCGCAAAACGTGCAGTAGTCTTGCCTATGGGACTCATAGCGCGAGCCGCACCTTCAATTGCGCAATACCACGTGACACCACATGGAAGGCTGCATCTGAAGGAAGCCTTGGGCTCTTGATTCGGAGCAGTCTTGGCGACTTGTCTGGCACCAGCGCTGTTGTTCTCCTCTCTTGCGTTTCTTCCTTACGAGGCTGATAGTTGCAACTTTACCTGTACTCGTCACTAACTTTCGCTTCAAAGGCTTCAGCAATGTCAACGACATTCCATCCTCCAATGTGAATGCGGTCAACACCCAGGCTATGCCACCTCGGAACCAACAGTTTTCCGCTCTTCCGCCCTTGCCGAATGC